ATGTCTCACCTAAAAGACCTATTTGTACACTGGGAAATAGAATTGGTAGACAGACAGGATTGAAAACTCAATATTGGACTATGAATGATGTGCTTCTCCCCTTCCAGCCTGTTTTTGTGAGGTGATCATTTTGGAATTTTTTTTTAAAAAACAGCTTTATTGAGGTATAATCGACTGTACCTATTGAAAGTATCCAACTTGTTAAGTTTTGACACATATATACACTTGTGAAATCATCACCACATCAAGAACTCTTTCAGTTTTGATAGCCATTAAATACAGTGTTGCAACACACTGACCTTAGAGTTGGACTTTCTAACTGCTCTGTTTCAAAATGTTAAGACACAATTTATTATTTATTTTATTTTATTTTATTTTTTATTTTTTGAGTTGGAGTCTCACTCGGTTGCCCAGACTGGAGTGCAGTGGCTGCTCCCAGCCACCGCAGCCTCGCCTGCTGGGCTCCGGCGATCCTTCCACCTCAGCCTTCCCAGTAGCCAGAATTACAGGCATGCGCTACCACACCCGGCTGATTTTTTTGATTTATTGTAGAGATGAGGTCTCGCTGCCCAGGCGGGTCTCGAACCCTCGGGCTCCGGCAATCCACTCACCTCAGCCTCCCAAAGGCACGGGATTACAGGCTGAGCCACTGAGCCCGGCTAAGACACAATTTAAAAAATACTAAGATATGGGAGAGTATAGCTCCCCGCTCCTTAAGAGTGGGTTGTACCTAGAGCAGTACAAGGACAGAATAGTGGAGGGGGAAAGATGAACTCTAGAGCAGATAAACCACCTCAGTCAGGTGACCAAGGTCGACATCAAGAGTGCCAAGTTGTGTTGACAGTATGTACTCTTGATATGACAGGATAAGCGGGACACCTTGCCTCTTTGGTCTCCCTCCTAATAACACACAACTCAGGTGTTATCATGAAAAAAACATCAGACAAATCCCAGTAGGGAGATGCTCCACAAAACACCTGACAGGTAACTCCTCAGGAATATCAGGATCATCAAAACAAGGAAAGTCTAAGAAACTGCCACTAAAAGAGTAGCTGAAAGAGACATAACTAAATATAATGTCATGGGAGAGTAAAAGAATTAATGGCGGACTTTAGCTGAGGGATATGGGAGAGACTGAAAGTTATCACTTTTCTTGTACTAAACTAGCACTATTTTATTGGACTCAAAAAGCTTTGTGCTCTTATTAAATTTAGAAAAATAAATTCATGTTTTGTATGCTTTCTAAGTCTCTATTTATGGATGTATTTAATTTTAATAGTTATATAAATGGCAAATACTAAAAATGTTTTATGGAGGGAGGGCAGGGCTCTTACAAGAGACACTCCCTTCAATATTTTTTTTTTTTTTTAGTTGGAGTCTTACTCAGTCGCCCAGACTGGAGTGCAGTGGACGCTACCGGCCACTGCAGCCTCGACCTGCTGGGCTCCAGTGATCCTTCCACCTCAGCCTTCCAAGTAGCCGGAATTACAGGCATGCGCTACCACGCCCAGCTGATTTTTTGATTTATTGTAGAGATGAGGTCTCACTGCCCAGGCGGGTCTCGAACCCACGGGCTCAGGCGATCCACTCACCTCAGCCTCCCAAAGGTACGGGATTACAGGCTGAGCTACCGAGCCCGGTTTCCCTTCAATATTTTAAGTTCAACCAGATCTGGGTTGTCTTAGCTATAGCACTCAAGCAGAGTTCTCAAGATGTCATGACTCATGAATTTTAAAGATTCCAGCGGGGGAACCAACTTCTGTCTCCTGTCCCATTCTCTGGCTATCTGGGCTGTCCACAGTGGTTGTTGAGGCTTGCCTGCCAAAAATAAGTAACAACAGAGAAGAGAACACAGGACTTCCCTCTATTTCATAGTAGGTAACAAGGCAAAATACCAGTCGATATCTGTCTCCTGCTTTATAAAGACTACTTCAACATTCAGCCCCGAAAAAAGAGGCTGTTTGTTGTACATAACCACAGACTTTGGCTATGCCATTAACAGTGTGTCACCTTGCAACCATGTGTCAACTGTGAAGTGAGAGGGAGCACTAAGTTCTCATCTAATTCCTTTTATCCATGTCCTTGACTTCATGACTTCTGTGACAGTATGTCCAATTTCAGCCTCTCCAAATCCTGGGGACTCATTACATCCTCATCTGTGCCTCCTAAAACAAGAGTTTCCAGTTGCCACAGTAACTGAAACCAGAGCAGATCAGACACTTGATGTGTAGCACAGACCTCAGCAGCTGGGCTCCAATTTGCACCTGAGGGCAGACAGGCAAGTAGGAGGACCTTTGTACCCAAGTCAGCTGCCAGCATCTGAGGCTGACAGGTAGGCAGGGCCACATTCCCCAGAGGTCAAAGCTGAGTCACCAAGGCAGAAACCAGGTGAGTTTCTCTGTTCCAGTGAGGGGGCTGTGCCACCAGGGAGCAGAGTAGTGAGGCCAACTGGCAGCCCCTGCCTTTCACACACGTCCCCATGGTGTTTTCCCCAGCCTCCCACATTCTAATCTAACCAAAGCTGTCTGTCACGCCCGTTTGGGTAATGTGTAAATAGAAAGTCCTGCAATTTCACCAGCCCCAAACTTCACCTGGGCCCATCAGCCACAGGAATACTGGTGATGGGTTAAAGAATGAGAGGTGAGCAGCTAGATGGGTCTTGGTTGCCGGCACCAGCTGTGTGTGACCCCCAGGGGCCACTGTCTTCCAGAACTGAAGAAAGACACCAACAGAGCTGGGTTTGCACCTTATCACTCAGAGGAAGGCCTCAGCTTTCTTCTGTAAGAGAGGACTGCCCATCCTCCACCTCAAAAGGTTAAGACAACTAAATGCCACAAGGAATAGGAAGCAGTTAGCAGATGGCAGACAATATCTTTGACGCTGGTCTGTTAGTCAAAACCCATGGTGAACACCAGATCACACTTTCCAGCTGATACTGCAGAGACACAGGTGGTAACACTCTTCAGAGCACTCTGCCGGAAACTGGCTTCAAAAAAAAAGTTCCCTCTTCTCTGTGACCTTCCTGGCAGCAATGGAGTGGTTACTGCAGAAGGAACACGCTGACGGGGAAGTGACGATTGTTATAGAACCAGCCTGTTCAACCTGGCACGCCCCAAGATGCTTCCTGGCAAGAGGCTCATAAAATGCTCATTCCCTCCCTATTCCAGGATCCCAGGGAAGACTTGTTACATATATACACCAGCATATACATCTATGTGCAGGCGTATGGGATATTACCTATCTACTCTGTATACCTAAACTGGCGTTACACTAAAGTAGGGTGGAGATTCTGAGATTAGTCTCTGAATTTGCCCTCATCCACCTAAGCAGGCATTAAAAAAGTCTTAGATCAGTAGTGAAAATAGCCTACAGGCACAATGCCCTCTAAGCAGTTGTCAGGTCAACAAACCAAAAACCTCCCATCAATGAGAAAACAGGGCCTCCTGGTGGCAGGTTATTTCAGAAACTCCAAAATGGAGGCTGCAAACATTTTTTCTGCAAATTCAGTCACAAGCCCTACTGTTACCAGTATCATTAAGTAGTCTCATATTAATAAATATTTGTAGCCTAAGTTGAATTCATTCAGACAAATTCTTAGGCAGACCTTCTCTTATGTCTCTCTTGCCCACCACCAGAGGCAGGGGTCTCAATATGTTGCCCAGGCTGGTTTCAAACTTCTGGGCTCAAGTGATCCTCCCGCCTCAGCCTCCCAAAGAGCTGGTATTACAAGCATGAACCAGCTGGGCTCGGTGGCTCAGCCTGTAATCCCGCCCCTTTGGGAGGCTGAGGTGAGTGGACTGCCTGAACCCGCGGGTTCGAGACCCGCCTGGGCAACTTGGCAAGACCTCATCTCTACAATAAATCAAAAATTAGCCGGGCGTGGTAGCGCGCACCTGTAGTTCCAGCTACTTGGAAGGCTGAGGCGGAAGGATCGCCAGAGCCCAGCAGGTCGATGAGGTGGCTGGGAGCGGCCACTGCCCTCCAGTCTGGGCGACAGAGACTATAACTCAAAAAAACCCCACCAAAAACCAAAACAAAACAAAAACAAGCATGAACCATTGCGCCTAGCCCTTACACTTCGTTTTTGAGTCAGTCTGACTCTGTCGCCCAGGCTGGAGTGCATCGGCATGCTCAAGGCCACCTTGGCCTTGACCCGCTGGGCTCAGGTGATCCTTCCACCTCAGTCTTCCAAGTAGCTGAACTACAGGCCTGCGCTACCACGCCCGGCTAATTTTTGATTGATTGTGGAGATGAGGTTTCACCAAGTTGCCCAGGCTGGTCTCAAGCCCATGGGCTCAGGCAATTCTCTCACCTCAGCCTTCCAAAGTATTAGGATTATAGGCGTGAGCCATCGTGACTGGCCTTATTTCATTTTTTAAATGAAATAACTTGCATGAGGCCATTGCTTTACTAGACTCTGGTGTGGCCATGTGCTTTTTGAGCTATGGCTGCCACATTTCCTAGGCTTTGGCCCCTCTCTCCTACCTTGGAGAGGCAAATCTCCTCTCTCTCTCTCTCATTTACTTTCCAAATAAACTATATTTTCTAATCTTTTTTTTTTTTTGAGTTGAAGTCTCACTCTGTTGCCCAGACTGGAGTGCAGTGGCCGCTTTCGGCCACCGCAGCCTCGACCTGCTGGGCTCTGGCGATCCTTCCGCCTCAATCTTCCAAGGCGTGCGCTACCACACCCAGCTAATTTTTTTTTTATTGTATAGATGAGGTCTCGCCAAGTTGCCCAGGCGGGTCTCAAACCCGCGGGCTCAAGCAATTCACTCACCTTAGCCTCCCCAAGCGAGGGATTACTGGCTGAGCCACCGAGCTCAGCTATATTTTCTAATCTTAAAAAAAAAAAAAAAAAGACTTGCTTGAGTAGACTTAGCCTCTGCAGAGCAACTTGGAAAATCCTTCATGGAAGGAAGTTACCTGTTGTCCCCAGAGGCAGAAGGGGCAAAACCATCAACACAGATCGATGTCAGGGTAAATAAGACAAGGAGTCTCAGTGGAAGTTAAAGTATTTATTGATGTGTTTAAACTCTGTACATTCTCCACAGATCATATTAAGGAGTTTGTAGGTGAAGTTTAATCTGTGCATAGTGGGAAGACACATGGATGTGGTCAAAGGGCAGGAAGAAGAAGGAAAAAAAACAGTCACAGAAAAAAGAGAAAAAAGTACACCACAGGTTACCAGAACCTTCAGATTAAAAAAAAAAAGGGAAACAAAAGAAAAAGCTATGAGCATAACATCAACTGTACAAGCATTACAAAGACGCATGTGAAGGAAACAAAAATCCTCAAAGCTTTCCACAGTGTTTACAGACCCAGTTTCATGTACAATCTGGAATACTCTCCTTTCACAGAAAAACAAGCCTCCCATCTTCTCTTCTGGGCCATCAGCCACCTCCTTAGCACGGTCTTCTCTGAGTAAATGCCAAAAAGGCTGGTGATAGGGGCAGGGTGGACGTGCAGGTGCAGAGGGGAGGCCAGTGCCTTGGGAGGGAGACGTCCAGGAGGAAGAGACCACCCATCTGGACACACTTAGAAGGGGACGTGATCAAAGAGCTATGGTAAGTCAACGACAGAGTGGAAGGACGTCATATACACACTACAGGCTAATCTCTGTGGAAGAACTGGATTCTGAAGAAAAGCAGCAGCGGAGCCCCTCCTCTGTCTACATCAGGCTCACTAAAGGACACAGGAATGAAATGCCTTTAACTACCTTGGTGAAGAAACTTGTATGGAAACACCAAGGTACCCAGCCATGGAAACACCGGACTTCCGGAACTGGTCCTTTAAAATTACTTTGAGAGGGTATCATCATGTGCTTCAGGGGTCAGTTTCAGCTCCCTCTTCCACCTAGTTTCTCAGTGACTTCTTGAAAGCACTCATTTCAAAAGGGAATACTGCCTTCTTTCTTCTTCTTTTTTTAAATAAAGGCCGGGACAGTGAATGAGCCTAAAGAGCTGACTTACACAACATAATTGGAACAAACAACCTGCATTTAAGTCTATCACTGAAAATCAACATTTTCCATTTATATAGAGCATGTGTCAGACAATACAATAGAAGTGGGATTTCTGATTAATTTAAAAAAGAAAACTACATCAGTCAAATATCTGCAATAGATCATTTCTTCATTTAAGGTTTATATATCATATATTGTTATATTAACATTTTTCACCCATTTAAAAGAATGGAAATTGCAATTCTACAGTAGTACTTTATAGTCTTAACGGTCCAGGAGGTCAGGATGTAAGATGAAGCCCTCTGGCGACAGCTGCCGGTCAGCAGTTGATCCAAATCGCTGGGCCTTTTCCGGCCCACCTGCACCACCCCATTCAACCGGGGAGGGGGGCCACACACTCCCTGCCACTTAAATCTGCATCTGCTCCAGGTATTTGTAGGTGGGGTTTTCATAGCCATGGTTCTGCATCTTGTTCAGGTGACGCTCTTCTGGAGTGAGCATTGGGTCTACCTGGAAAAACAAAGATCAAGAATCACTGTAGTGCCTGGGAAGAGACCTGCAAAGTGTGCTAGAAAGTCAAGCTGTTTGCTGCGCAATCTCCTGGAACCAGAAGCAGCTAGCTGCCAACTTCCATTTGACAGACCAAACAAAAGCTGGTGATGAGAACAAAAGAGAAGAAAGAAAAGAATGGAATCAAAGAGGTAATGCTTCTAAAACTAGAACCCTGAAAGCTCAGTCCACATAGAAGAAGACAGGCAAATGGATTTCCTAGCACCAGTGACAAGCAAGTCCCAGTTCTGCTCACCATTTGAGATAACCGAGGTAAGCCACTAATGCTCAGCTATGAGATCAGGAGGGGGACCAACAATCTCTGGTCTTTTCTACAGATAGGCCAAATAACTAAGACCATCATTGGAACTAATTTCCCAGAACATAATATATTCCCCTTACTGTATTTTTATTTGGAAATTGAGACTCTGAGCATTCACACCATCCACTAAGAAATGAGTGGCAAGAGGTTCAGTTACAAACTAGCAGAAGATAGAATGGCCTGCTTTGACTCTTTCTGAATTTCAGGTTGCTTTTTCCCCCCATTATAAAAGAGTAGCAGTCCTTCATTTTAAAATATCTAACACACCTGAAAAGGAAAACACTAAGAAAATAATCTGAGAAAAGAGTTTTCTCTCTTTTTTTTTTTTTTGAGTCAGACTCTTACTTTGTCACCCAGGCTGGCAGGCAGTGGAACAATCACAGGTTATCATAGCCTCAACCTTCTGGACTCAGGCAATCTGTCCACCTCAGCCTCCTGAGCAGCTGGGGTTTTAGGCTCACGCCACAATGCCCAGCTAATTTTTTGACTTTTGTAGAGATGAGTTCTTGCTATGTTGCCTAGGCTGGGCTCAAGCTATACTCTTGCCTTGGTCTCCCCCAAGGTGCTGGGATTACAAGGTATGAACCAGAGTTTTCACCTCCTGTAGCATAAAATCTTCTCATGACTTTCTAACATTCACGGTCAAAACCTATTTGAAATGCTGAAAGCTGGCAACAGTACCTTGTAATAGGGGCTGACTTCCAAATCATGACCTAATAATCCCATGAGTAATTTAACTGATGACAGTAGCATGTCCAATATTCGAGGATTTTAAGACATCTGAATTCTGTAAGGTTCCTGTCCCCACCCACAGCCCCAGGCTGGCAGCTCAGAGCAGACCCTCACCAGGCCAGCTCCTCACCTCCACAATCCCATGGCTGATGGTGCCATACTGCCTCTTCCTCAGCATCACCAGGCTGATGACGATGACTGTGGCAATGGCTACTGCAATGACCAGCAGGCCAATGAGGGCACTGCTACTCAGACTGAAGTCTTCCCGTAGTGGCCCCACAGATTCCTAAATAACAAAGCAGACGTAGAACAATGTCCTGGTGGCCATCCGGCAGCTGTAAGGCAAGCGATTCACCAAGGGCCACACTCCTCTACAGCCAGGTCCCCAAAACCCAAGGTAGCACCAAGATCCTGCTTTGCAAAGAATCATCCATATAAGGAGGTGCCCACTTTTTCCAATTCCATGAAGACCTTAATTTTAGCTTTCTTATCCAAAAGTATGGCAAACTGGGGATGAGGGACCCCTGAAAACCCAACACGCCAGGCATCTCTCCCACCTTCTACTTGAACTGAGAAGGTCCAAAGGAGAAACAGCTATGACTGACAGGAAACCTGGCATTGGGCTCTGGAGCCAAACACATACCGGCTCTTCCTCAAGGCCTCCAACTCTCTCGGCATTGAAGATCATTTCCTTAACATCCAGGGTCTCGTCAATGACCTGAAAGCCATGAGATGTCAGCAACTAGCAACTAGGTGGAAGGGAAATTTAGTATACTCCCACTGCTTCCTTCCTTCCCCATTTGCTACTTGGTAGAGGGAAGCAGACACCTAAGGGGGCCCCACTAACCAATCAGTTCCGTCACAGTCATCCAAATCCACTCACCAAACCCTTCATGAAGGGGTAAGTGTGGATGGAAAATTATTTTATTTTATTTTATTTTTTTGAGTTGGAGTCTCACTCTGTCGCCCAGACTGGAGTCCAGTGGCCACTCCCGGCCACCGCAGCCTCGACCTGCCGGGCTCCGGCGATCCTTCTGCCTCAGCCTTCCGAGTAGCCGGAATTACAGGCGCGCGCTACCACGCCCGGCTAATTTTTTGATTTTACTGTAGAGATGAGGTCTCGCCTGCCCAGGCAGGTCTCGAACCCAGGGGCTCAGGTAATCCACTCAGCCTCTCAAAGGCGCGGGATTACAGGCTGAGCCACCGAGCCCGGCTAGAAGATTATTTTATAATGACTGGTCCTAAGGAGTTTTCACCTGCATTTTCCTTCAGGTAACTGTTGTGGAGGTATATTTCGGGACCAAAGAGCCATATTTAAATATCAAACTCAGCCAAGGATAATCCAGAAATATAAGTAAAAGAAAATGCTAGAAGAATAAAAGGGTGTATAAAGCTAAGGCAGTAGAAGAACCAAACCTAACTATTCCATTTTCAAGTTATTAAATCTCTATTCACTTGAAAATGGCCTCTAACCTGTTATTCATATCATCAGTTGCAGATATATTTTTCTACTGCATAGCAAGAAATGAGCTGCTGCTGAAAATCTTCAATCCTTTTAAACATTACTGGCTAAACAAGTCAGCCAGTCCATGGGAGTAGTTGGAACCCCCAACCCTCTACCAAATAGAAAACGAACGCGCAGATCTGCACCTGGAAGCAACTGACACCGGGTTATTCACTCTAATGAATCTCAAGAATAAAACGTGCTGGGCAGAAGAGAAAATGGGCTCACCATATTTTCATCCACTTTATTCTTACTGTTAATCACTTTTTCTTCAGCACCGATCAGTCCCCCATCCTGCTCTCCCACTCCAGATCCTGTGTAGAGAGATCACAGCTGAGTCCCCAAGGATGGCCCATGTTAGTCCAATCTCACAGAAGCAGCAAACTCCCTCCTGAGGGCCAGGGAGCCCCTCAATCAAGCATCTCCCCTCCCTCCACCTGCTTCTGCGTTCACATGTTGTGAGGATGCACTGTGCTCTATAAGGATGAACGACACAGGCATTTTCAGAGGATCGATGGGTATAATGAGGGAGGAGGGAGTGCTCGTCTCCAGCTTGGGAAAATGGAATGCAAGCCTTCAGAGAGAATGTTTATTGTAAGACACACAGAAGCAAGTCCAAGGGCATTCTGGCATGGCAAACACATAATACTCTTCTAAGTGATAACACTGAGCACCTACTGTCCCAGCCTGCTCCATCAGCACTGGGGCCTCACACAGCAGTAATCTGCATGTCTGCCTTGAGCATGAAAGTGTAGCCCACAGGCAATTCTTTCTGCCTCATATACCCTCCCCAACCTGAACCCCTCCTGTTTGTCCTTGTTTCAGCACATCTTGAGAGACATTCCCAGATAACAGCACTTAAAATCAGTGTGTAATGATCGATTTCCTTCTGTATCCCATCAAGCTGAATCCCTCTCAACACTAGATCATGGCTGGTCACATTCTAAATGATTATTAAGAGCCAACAGGAAGGAAACATTTCATCGACAGGAAGAATTCTAACACCTACACAGAGGGCACCTTTCTGTAAATGAAGCAGCAAGAATAGCAACTCTTCTCTTGTCAAGGTCAGACACTGCCCAAGACAACGTCACTCGGCTGAGGTACTCCAAGTGATGGTATCCAAATACGCAGCATGACTGGACCCAGCATAGACCCAGGGAGTGGAAAAGTAGTCTTCTATTTTTAGCTCCAAAGCATGTGATTTCTAGCTATCATAACAGTGTCTTATTAATAATAATATATATAGCTCTATATAAAAGTCTATGATTTGGACCTTTTATAAATAGATCAACCTGACAGTATACTCAACATTCTAAGGTAACTACCTGCAAGTAAGATTCCAACATGAGGATAAAAACAAAGCTCTGCTGTCCCCGGGCTTGTCAAAGGCAGACAATGACACCAGGCCCAGCCACAGCAAAGCTTCCCAGCTTACAACTAGACTGGTTCTTAACACAGCAACTTGTAACAGCTATTGTAGCTACTGAACTCGCAGGCTAGTTAATGCATTACAATGTAGCCAAAAATGCTGTAAATTTTTCCTAAAGCTTCCACTTTAAAGAACCACAAGACTTGATTCTAGTTAAATCAGTACCAGCTTTTGTCTCAAAATGCCAATGAAATAGCAATACTGCACTGCAACTCCTCTGGATCTGGAAGAGTGTCACCTCAGTAAGGATGCTTGTGATCAAGCCCAATAAATTCTGAGTTCCTTCCATCTTTTCCTCTTTTCCTCAGAATTTCAAAGGTCATATCGGCAGGATCCTATTTGAAAGTTAATGTGGCACTGAATCAACTAATTTAAAGTCACACTACCAGTCCAGACTGTTCTAACACTTTTTTGATGGTAGAACCCACGTTTCTTAAAACCACTTTGGTTTTATAAAATACATAAACAAGTGACTTCAAGACACCAAAAGTTAATGGTTAAATTGTCCTCACTCAAAACAGTTTAAGTATAAAGAGAAAGTCTGTGAAACTTCAAGGAAATTCATTTTTATCTATAAATATCTCAATTGTACTGTTGAAAAGAACGTTAGCACAGTGATCTTCAACAAGAGGTATATTCAATTAGAACAAAACATAGCATTTACATACAAGTGATTTTCACAAGATTCAAATCACACTTATGTTTTGAGAACAACCAGTGGCATAAACCAGAACACCAAATTCTTAAGTAGTGAATGCCACTTGGTCCATCCATACACTACGCTTTCCAAAGCCAAGTATAGGCTCATGTAACACATTCAGAACATGAAATGCTTGAACTTATTCACAATGACTCTAGAGACTGGGCTATCTAACCACCTTGGGGATTCAGCAGCCAACATCTGCAACTTAGGTAAAATAAGTCACATGGGCTTTGAGGATAGAGAACTGGGTTCAAATCCTGGTTCCTCCACTTCTTAAACTCATGACTTAGAGCATGTCATCTCAGAGACTTTCTTCAACTGCCTCATCTATGAAATATGGAGCTAAAAGTCCTATACTACAGAGATCTTCAGTGGATTAAACAAGATCAGGTATGTAAAGCATTCCACGCAGTGCTTCATAAAACTTCAACTGTTTTGGAAAACTGGAGACTAGGGAGTACAGCAAGAGTTCGCTTGTCTCTACCTCTTTCATCCATCAGCTTCTAAAGTTCTGAGGAATGCTACAGCTCAGGGGACATGCGACATCTGGCACAGACAAAAGGCAAGGATAGCTAAAAAGAAAGGATAGAAATGGGAAGGCAGCAGAGAAAAAAGAAGAGGCAAAAGAAAAAGATTCTCCACCTGACTAAATTAAGCATACTGTCATCTATACTAGCAATTGCAACCAACCTGTTTAAGTTGGATATACTTGATTTAAAGGATTTATGAAAGCATCTATTTTGGTCACTGTGCATTCTCTGAACATCCCAGAAGGAAAGCTTAGGATGGCCACCCGGTTACCAATACCACTGAAACTAGACTTGAGTGCTGGAGAGTCGGGAGGCTTGTCAACAACATGAAGGCCAGGCTTTGACTCCTTTCTCATTAGCCATGTTGGAAGAAATGAGGTGGAAAAAATCAGTTGATGGTATGAAACAGAAAATGAAACCTCTGACACATTGGGGAAGTAAAAGGAATGAAGGTCTTACGGGAAACATCTTTGACAAAACCAACCTTTTTTCACTGGGTGGTACAACTCCGGCTGAGTGTCTAGCAGAAAGGAAAACAATAAAAAACAAAATAAAATAGCACAAAAGGAGATTAAGAAAGAAAATGGCTTCTTTCAAAATTTCTATCTTAAGAATTTCTCTGTAATGTGAACAAAAAGCATTCTTCCTCAAAAACACCATGCCTGAAACATCCCATAAACAAACCAGCAGTAAGATCCACAGAAAATCACTGGAGAGTATCCCTGATAAGAGAGAATAAAGTAGTAGGTCTGTCTTGGGCCTTTTTAGGGAAATTCTCAAATTATTTAGCCTAGCCCACAAAATTATTTTCCTAGAAAACAGCAAGACTTAAAGTTAGTATTGATTGTGGTTTACTGACGAGGAGATAAAGTCCTAGAGTTCAGCTCTGTCCAAGATATCCTGACCCCAAATAAGCATATAAGAAGCTGTCTAGGCATGGCCTTCCCACAGCCCCACAGAGGTCTGGAATTTATAAGAGCAGGTTTTAGGGACAGAGTGATGCCTCTTTATTTACCTACTACTTTTAGATCCTGTTTTATTCTCAGAGGGTCAATTGCACTGAGTCCATAACTCCAGGACAACTCGTTTAAAAGGCACTTCTGCTAAGGTCTAAAGGCTAAGCTGGGTGCATCCCCACCCTCACCCCCAATTTGGTACTTTCCTCCAGCCTCTGTCCCAGCAGTGTATCCAGTTGTATATACATGTGACTGTACTACAGTGACCACAGGACTAGATCAACTTGGGTTCAAATCCTGACTCTCCACCTTTAAAAGCTAGATGACCCTTGGCAAGTTAGCTAACCTCTTTACACCTCAGAATCCCCCAAAGGGGACACTCAAGTACCTACATGAGAGGGCTATTCTGAGGACTAAGAGTGTCCATGTACAATGTTCAGCTGAAGCTGGCATATCATAAGGACTCCATAGCTGTGGGCCATTTGTACTATTACCATCATGAGTAGCAACAGCAACACCTAGAATCTGATTACACACACTGGTCTCAGCAACTTGTTTATTTCTGGAGCAGGCTCATAGCTTTTAGAGATACTTTTAGACATTGAGAACTAGCAAGGGAAGAGAGGAAAGAATGCCTGCCTAGGAATCAGAGGACACAGCTTCTTATCCCATTTCATGTCAGAGATAGGACCCTGAGCCAGCCTCATCACCTCTTAGCCTCTCTGTTACCTACCTCCCAAGACTGTCATGAAAAGATAACGACACGACATAACATGAAGGCGCTACTTAAAATGCAAAGTGCCTCCCACGTGTAAGGCAGTAGACAAACTGAAGAACAGTGGGCTTGAAGCCATCCTTGGGAGAAATAGTCCTAACTTCATGGTGACACTGAAGTCAGATATTTGAAAGTACCTGGCATGGTGCCTGCATGTAGCAGGTGCTCATGAAACCAGTCTCCTTTCCCCTGACTCTTACAGGAACACAACTTCCCAATGCAATCTTATCTGTGAAAAATAGACCTCAATTTTCTCACTTTGTCTCCCTGCTGCTGCCTAGAAGAGGTGCTGTCACTCATACACACCTTCGTTCTCAGTTACGGCCGGGAAGGGGTGGAAGGGGTGAAACGGCGGGATCTCCTCACTCTCCTCAGAGCTCACCCGGACATCTACAGGTGTCTCCGAGATGGTGGCAGTGAACTGGTCCATATCTGCACGCTGTTCCTGAAGCAGCTCATCTGAAGAAGAAAGACATGGCAGAGAAAAAGCATAGCAGGTTTCAGGAGGACTTAGTGTCTAGGCACAGACCTTTCTAGAGCTCCACAGCCCACTGTCAGCTCCTGACTCCTGTCTGAAACACCTTCCCTGATTTTACAGTACCACAGGCCCCAGCACATGGGACCTCGGTGACATCCCGGGGCACCCCTCTCCTTTTCATCACCACAGTCTGGTTAAGTGGTCCTTTCGAACACAACGTATTTTGGGGTTTTAAAAAATTGTATATATTTAAGGTACACAGTGTAGTGTTTCAATATACATATACACAGTGAGACGTTTACTACAGTCATGCAAGTTAGCATATCCCTCACCTTCCATAATTGTCCTATTTTTGGCAAGAGCACTCCAAGTCATTATCTCAGCCAACTTTCAGTGTACAACAAGACTATTAACCACAGTCCTCATGCTGTACCTGCCACCACTAGACTCATGCATCCTTCGAAAATGCAACTTCATGCCCCTCGACCCACTTCTCCCCAGCACCAGTTTCTTTTAATTTTTTGAGTAGGAGTCTCACTTTGTTGCCCAGTCTGGAGCACAGTGGCATACTCATAGCCACCACAGTCTTGACCTTCTGGACTCAGGCAGTCCTTCTGCCTCAGTCTTCCAAGTATCTGGAACTACAGGCACATGCCACCACACAAGGCTAAATTTTCTTTTTTTTTTAATTGTAGAGATGAGTTACCTAGGCTGGTCTGGAACTCCTGGACTCAGGCAATCCTTTTGCCTCAGCCTCCCAAAGTGCTAGGATTACAGGCATGAGCCTCCATGCTCAGTAACACCAATTTCAAATACTACCCATATACCATGACTCCCAAGCCTGAATCCTGTACCTACTGCCCTACCTTCATCTTACCTAACAGCCTGCCGGAGACTTCCATACAACATCTCACTGTGATTTCTCTCTTAATGTATATAAAGAGCTCTTACTGTCGTTCCCCACTTCAGTAAGCAATGCTACCACCATCCACTGAGATGCTCATAATGAAACCCCAAGGACTACCCTTTATACACTTCCTTCCCCACCCTCCCTCTGGAACACATCCTAGAGATGATCCCTGACTATCCCCAGGGTGCTCCACCACCTATCTCCTCTTAACCATCTTAGTGCATACTACCATCATGTCTCTCCTGGATTTTTATAATTGCTTCCTGGCTGGTTTCCAATTTTAATCAGCAGCCGAGTCTTTTTTTAAATTCAGGTTCTTTTTTTAAAAGCACAATCCAGACCTATTCACTCTCTAGCTTAAACTCTCTAATGGCTTCCCATTATCCTAGAATGAAATTCAAGCTCCTTGATTTTACTTAAATTGCTTTCCAGTCTGGTCTTTGCCTGCTTCTTTGGCCTCACTCCTCCTCACCATGCTCCAGCCACCCCGACCTATTCAAACGCGCTGCCTGACTTAGACTTGAGGCCACTGTAGTCGCCACTTCCTCTGCTGACGACGTGCTCTCTGCCCCTGTGATCTTGCCGTTCGGATTTCAGGTTGCCGTCTCCAGAGGCAGCCGCCTGGACCTTGGCCACTCTCCACCACTTCATCCTAATTTTCACTCTCTGCACAGCACTTATCACCATCTGACACTTGTGTTCATATTTTACCATCTGTTTCTCTCCTCCTATCACATTAATTCCAGCAGTTATTGTCCATTGTGCACCATTTTACTCTGACACACAGCAGGTACAATAAAACTTGAAGGAGATAAAGACTGGGAGAAAAAGAGGAGGTGAGAATTTGTGTAAAATAGGGTGTCTTGAAAAAGTTCAGCAATTAAGGAGGAAAATGGTAACAGGAAACTTCCCAGTCCCTGGGAATTTCATACCCTAGACTTTATTCTGCTAGCAGAGTGAAGGTCAATAAAACTCAAGGTTCTGTGGCTCACAGCCAGCACATCTGCCCTTGGTTACTCCTTGACCTTGCCATGTAAGCTTCACTGGATTCCAGACTTCTGAAACAATGATGTACAAACGCCCAGCTTCAAGGACTTGCTTACTCCTACTTCCCTAATGCTGTTACTCCTGAGCTGCAGCAAGAAGTCCCACCCAACCTTGACAGTCAGTACACACCAATTTCCTCTTGAATTTCTTGGGCTACATAAGGTACTTTGTAGAGCAGAGAGAGGCTTTGGTTCCTTCTTTCTTCAATCACATGGAGATGTGTCATTACCTGGAAATACAATTATGGCAGATAAGTCTTGTCACTGAAAACAGCTCGGCCAGAAGGGAACTTGCAGATGGGAAACCCACATACATTTCCAGAAAGACCATTTCAAAAAGTGTATTCTCTACAAAGTCCTGTAAATCATCTGGTCAGAGGATATGTATTAATCCCTATGTCACATTACTGACCACAAAAGTAAATAGATGTGTATAATTCCCACAGGGTGATGTGAGAATTTGTCCAAAAAAAGTGCTCCAAGTTAAAAGAAAATATACTAAAAGATAAAATAAAATATACAAAAAAATGTTCACTAGCCAGTTATTGAATGAACTTCCATATGAGGCACTTACTACTAACTGTACTGAGTCAAACAGAACCCTCATTTATACAATGCTGAATGCTCAATAAGGTCTTGCTGAATGAAAAAAGGGTCAATTTTTATTGCCTGTCAGATTAGATGGCATTAAAAGAGACTGAAATTACTAGCTAAAAAGTAGTCGTGGGGAAGAGGGAACCATTCGTGGAATTTGCTTAGTGAAGCAACTGCTTAAAATGACTATTATGGTGACTAACAGAACAACTTTATTCCTATTTAATTAAATTACTATTCTTTGGAAAATTCTTGCTGAGCTACAAGTAAATTTGACTTTCAGGGGGTGATAAAGGAAAATGTACCCACCATAGGTCACTACCTTTTCTGAATGCAGAAGTTCCAAGGTTGTTCACACAAACATACACATACAAAAAGCCATTAAAAGTGGTCACTTGTTTTTAAAACTCTTCAGAATAGAAATGAAGGTGATGTGGGCTAACCTCTACCCCAGTGACACAGTAAGGCATGTTGTTGTAGCTCCCACAAGTTGTTCTAAATGAAGTAATTTCTGCTTGATTAGCCTTGCAGTTACTGAGATATTCCTGAAGAGGGTGCTCTAAATCAACAGATTAATTAAGTGGACTCGAAGCCATTAACATGAGAGGTCAAATGGAAAAAAAAAAACAAAAAAACCTTAAATGGAAAGATGCTTTTATTGTGGATTGATGTCTCTCTGACCTTTAAAAGCAAGAATGAAAGCAATTTAATTTTATATTTGCCATTCTGTCAATCAAGTAAATTGAGAGGAAGCACAAGAGTGAGTGCCTTGGAGGAAAAGTGCAAATGGAGCTGCAGTGCCGCCCACAGTCTCAACAAGTGTTGACACTGCTATATGCTTCCTCAAATGAACTAGGGAGCTATTGGTTCATTACAAGAGCCACAGAGTAGAAGGCTGGAAATGAGTGTCTCTACAGTGAACCCTTGGGCTATATATACTATGGATAGAGTAAGTGCAACATCTCACTTCTATCCAGTCAGATGTGGCAGAAGATGTAAAAGTTGAGTATCTTCAGATTTTTCTAGTGTTTAGATAGTAGAACAGGGAACAGACAGAAGATTAAGAAATTCAGTGACATATCTTGCTAGAATTATAGCTGAGAACAGACAGTAAGTAGCACACAGGAGACCTGGGTCCTCACAATCCTCCTAAATGCTCTAAGATGAAAGGGTTCTACTTCCCATATTACTTGGTGTGGCAGTTTGATCTCATTTGCAGGAATTCTCTAGTTATTAATTTAGTATACTGACCAAAATATCTTGGTTTCCCTTCTATTCTCAGCACATAAAACAGGTTTTTTTTTCTGTAAAATACAACACAATAATCTAGTTTTTCAACCAAAGGTTTAGAAAATAATTAAGTCTTTAAAAGAAAAAAATCAAGTAGACCTGAAAAGTCTGAGCCTTGTCAAGATGCATCTTTCCACTCCGGCTTTCCAAGGCTACTCCAGGACCCCTTGACCTTTCTCCTTCTTTTCTTCCACTTCATCCAGGGTGAAGCAAAGTCCTGAGCTTCAGGCCCACAGCGATCACCCGACCCAGCCTCTTTCCACGTTCTTCCCACTCATTAGAAGCCTGAGTTCTTATATTCTCAAAACATGCAGCTTCTCAAGTGAACTTCGTATATTTAAGAACATCATTCTTCATCTTTATCATTACTAATTCTACACTAGCTTGTGAGCTGCTCAAGGCTACTCAAGGGATTCAGCTTTGCTGTACAGAGTTTGGCATGTGGACAGGGACACACAAACTTCAGCCCAACAAATGGAGCAAAACTCAGCTCCAAAACTCCTAAGACCTCTAGGCAAAGTACCTCATAATCCTAATAGATAAGTTGCTGGGAGGGGGAGTTTTTGGGCTCATGGGCAAGTACTCGTGCTGTAAGTGCATCCCATGAACATGGGTACTCACAGTCAGCACACCACTGTATTTATAAGAGAATATAAAATAAGTGGTTTCATTATAAGACCCTCTAGAAAAACTAACAGGCTGAGCTACAAGACTTTCTGGTTTAAAATGAAGCCAGCACTCTTGTAGACAAGTTCATGTTGATGAACATAAGAAAGGAAAACTCAAGTTAATATATAGACAAATAGTAGGAAGGGGAACTGGGAGAAAACCTCTATAGATGATTGTAAAGTTAAGTTGGACCCAGCATGGGGCAAAACCCAATATAAAAGGGGTCTGTCTAAATAGAAACAATAAAGCACAAACCAAGAAAAGAGACCCATTTAAAATATATTTGCCTAGAAAAGAATTTTAAGTATTAATTCTGGCAATTCTCTAAATTAGAAATAAAAAATCAGACATAAAAACCAATTTAGAAATTATTTAAGTACAATGTACTTAATATAAAATAGAAAAGATATCTCAAAAATATCACTTTTGCAAAAGCCAATTCAGGTACCGAATGTCTTTGGAAATAAAAAATCATCTTCTAAGGACTAAGCACAACTAAGCAATGCAACTATTCGTCAAGTCATTACGTCCACCGGAAATACTCTCATAGCAGCAATTTCAGCTATGTGCAATATACCTGGGACTTCATCTGGGCCGCCTTTTCTGGGTCAACAGCTAACACGTGCTGGTAATGACGGATAGTGTGCAGGCGATCTTTGTTCTCAGCGCGGACATAACGCCGCAAGGCCTGGAGGATCCGATGAGGCTGCAGAAGAGAAGGAGAACTGTTGTTTCAATATCCAGAGACCAGAAAATTGAAAATAGGCAGGAAAGCAAAAGCTTAAAAAGTCCACTTATGAATGTAAAGCTCAGCTAGGCACAAAAATGAAAGCTGTAATTTTAAAAGCTTTTTGAGTTTACCAAGTAACCAAAAAACTATCTAGGAAAAAGAGCAAAAACTAAGTTTCAAAGTTATATTGGCTCTTTATCAAACAGTATTTTCCAGAATCCTCTGATCTGTCCTCTTTCCTGGCTTAGCCTCTGATAACTGAACTGCAATCTAGGTAGTCTTCTGTGCCACCCAGAAGAGAAAAGACTTTAACTGGCTTACTTAAGAAGGCTACAGATATCCTTTCCAATACTTTCAAATGCCCCATAGCAAAGCAGGTTATGTAAAGGGATGAAATATCTTGAGACCACTCATATAAGAGTTTCAAAATAAATTATTTTACCCTTTTCTTCATAATCTTACTTACAATAGAACTGGTTCAAAAGTCTTCATTCACAGAAAGTATGGTTTCACTTTCTAAAAGGAAGCCTATCACAGAAAATTCAATAATGGATAGTTATCAACCAATTTCCTGAGGCTACACTATTCTAGTGTGAAATATTTCCATATCACAGGTGGCATACACAGGCATCAAGTGATGTAATGCTAAGCTTGTATATGCAGATACTAGAATATAATATCTTTTCCTCTGTAAGCTTTTCTTACCTTCGGCTTTGCCAGAAATTGTCATTAAGATGTCACTTTTACTGATCTGTGTGTCTTACATTGGTTCCATACATACACCACTTCAGGGCAGGCAACCCAGATGACAGGATTCATCAATGATTCAGCTCTGACTACGACTCACCCGCGGAGGATCAGACTGCAGGGCAGCCAGGTAATTCTCCAGCGCCATCCGACGGCGATCATTCAGCATAGCTTCTACTCGAGCTAGGTGGGTTTCTACCAGCTGCTGCTTCTCGCTGGCTGCTTCCTTCTCTAAAGCTTTAACCATAGCTTGGAAGTGCTAAACCAAGACATTAGGAACAACATATAATTTGTGGCACCTGAAGAAAGTCTAAGTAGACCCCAATGCTTCTTTCGAGTGCCATATACAAGACAGTAACAGGTTCAGAGAGTGGAAAAAGGGTAAGATCAAAGTATACTTTATTCAATTTCTATCAGGATAATTACTCCCGTCTATAAAGAGAGTAAGTTAAATTTCAGTGACAGAGACTCTTCAGTATTTCCATAACTGAAATTGCTAGTGCTGCAATCCCAAGGCCTGTTTTCTTAATGCACACTACCAGAAAAGGAATACTAATACTGTCCCATTCACATTGTAGCAAGGTACCAACTTCCAAATCCTGAAACCACTGGCAAACAGGAGATGCATTTTAAAACATATTCCAGCCGGGCTCGGTGGCTCAGCCTGTAATCCCGTGCCTTTGGGAGGCTGAAGTGAGTGGATTGCCTTAGCCCACGGGTTCGAGACCTGCCTGGGCAGCGAGACCTCATCTCTACAAGAAATCAAAAAATTAGCCGGGAGTGGTAGCACACGCCTGTAATTCCGGCTACTCGGAAGGCTGAGGCGGAAGGATCGCCAGAGCCCAGTGGGTCAAGGCTGCGGTGGCCGGAAGTGGCCACTGCACTCCAGTCTGGGCGACAGAGTGAAACGCCAACTCAAAAAACAAACAAACAAACAAAAAAACATAATCCATAATGTGGTTAGTTATGCTGAAGTATTCCTATTCCTGTTATAATCGCAAAAGGCAAGTTATCTGTGAGGGATCTGACCAGGTTTATACGTAATGCTTAAGGCTGACTAAATTTCCCTAGACAAGATGCATTGGCTTACATAGGAATTAAAGCTCTTAGATTTTCTAATCAATTACTAAAAAAGCAAAGTTCTTCCAGTAAAGTGTTAATATGAGAGGAGAAGGATTCCAGCTAAACATAAAATGTAACCACTTCTATAAAACCAAATTAGTCCTGTAAATTGCTATCCTTATTCCTAGAAACACTCTCTTCTATTGAAAAGGAATGCAGTTTACTGCTGTGATTTTAAGGTTATATTCTTTCAAAGTTAGAGGTGAACTCTATCAGAGATCTTTACTTTTCTGTCATCTTTTGACTTTTAATTAGTCAAACAAAAACAAGAATTCAGTTCTGCTAAAAAAACAAGTCACAGCCTAAGAATGAAGATGACAGAGGAATTTTTTTTGCTGGGATTATAGGTGTGAGCCACCGCATCCAGCCCCACAGAGGACCTTTTACCAAGAAAGCAGAATTAAAAAACAGTAGCTGAGCTAAGGTTACCTCCTGGCATGAATTAGGTATGTTCTGATGGGGGTTTGGTTTCATTCTACCATAGGTGAGCAATGCTAAAGATGAAAAAGAAAAAAGGCCTCAGCCAGGCTTGGTGGCACAGCCTGTAATCCCACGCCTTGGGAGGCTGAGGTGAGTGGACTGCCTGGGCAACTTGGTGAGACTTCATCTCTACAATAAATCAAAAAATTAGCCGGGCGTGATAGCGCGTGCCTATAATTCCGGCTACTTGGAAGGCTGAGGCGGAAGGATCGCTGGAGCCCAGCAGGTCGAGGCTGCGGTGGCCGGGAGCGGCCACTGCCCTCCAGTCTGGGCGACAGAGTGAGACTCCAACTCAAAAAAAAAAAAAAGGCCTCACCTAAATTCTAATTCCCTGGGAGCGTGGCTCTGGTCGTACTTTCAAATGATCAAGCTGAAAGCTTTGTCTCTGGAGAAGACGTCTTACCTGAATAAGAGTCTGCCTCTCTGCTTTGGGGAGGTTCTTAGCCTGAAGCTCTGCCTCTTCCCATTCCTTCTTTACCTAGAACAAGGGTCAAAAATACTATCACCAGAGAATAATCTTCTGAAACAACACCCCCATTTTCCAAAAATACTGCCAGGCACTAAATCTAATGTGAGAAACTATGCAAAAGAAAACCGATCATATGATCCCTTATGAGCCCAGGGTTGTTACTACCTCAGACAGTTTTAGGCCTCATCTATTCCCAAATACAGACTCAAGGCCTCTTTGTTACATAACCTTGAGCAAGTTATTTAAAAGTCTCTGTGCCTTACAGACTCCTCACCAAAAAAATTGAGGTTAATACCTACTTTTCAGAATTGATGTGGATCAAGCAAAATAATGAGCATTTCCCAAAGTGTAAGCCCAGCATGGGTGATGTGTGTGATTTTGGGTGGAGCTTAGTTCTACTTAGTTCTAGCAAGGTATTCCCTTTTCAATTTTCTGTCACTCCTAAGTAAATTTAGAAGAAAAGTTGTACTTTTTGGTGCTCCTGCTGCTCTACCTCTTAAAATCCTTTCAAGGAAAAGAAACATCCTTAAGACTCAGAATCTTAAGTAGGCAACAGTATCTAGCTGGAATGTATTAATACATGTTTACTTTCACCTAATATATTTGTACAGTTACCTTGTTCTCAAGGCAAATGGTACTAATTTTCTATTTATGACAGTAATAAAAAATTTCCTTCTTTAAAATAAAATAGTAAGTAGATAATAATTATAGGATGTGCTTACCATGCTAAGCCTCAGAGGGTAATTATATCATCCTGTTGGTAGGGGGTGAGGAAGAAGGACTAGTCCACCAAGAAGGCAGCTCCACCAATATTCTCCTATCGCATCTGTCCTTTACACATTAGCATGACATTCTAGAGGGATGGGTCACTTTTCTTCAACTATGAAAACCAAGTTACCCCAAACCAAACACCATGAAGATGAGGGAAGTGCTGAGGTTTACCCTGTCCATTCGATTGCGGTGCCGAATTTCCAGCTGCTCCTTAGCCTTCTGGAAGCGAGCATGCTCATTATCATCTGCAGAGGTCTCGAAATACACATCAACATCATTGGTTGGCAGAGGAGTTGGGGGAACTGAAACAAAATTACAGAGGACATTCTTTTTGGGATCAGGTGTACTATAAAACTATACTGTGCTCTAGGACGAAAACCCAGCTCAGGACCTGCAGGATGGACTCAATTTGCCGTGTAGCAGGCTAAAAGTGCAGGGTGCTGCTGTCTGCCAAGACTTTACTCTATTAGATTACAGTGGGCAATCTTCCTTGCATAATATTCATCAACCATGTCAGCCCATGCTAATATAGCAATTTATTGGTAGCTCAAACTCCTGGTATCTTCAGCACCAATGAGGCATCTACTATGAACTTCAGGGCAGAAAAAGAAATGGTTTCTTCTACATTGTTCCTCCAGAGCTTGAAACCTGAAAACCTAAAAAATAGCCACCTTGCTATTCAGCCCTGATAGCACCCAAACAGAGATGAAGGCTGAAAACTTCCACAGAATTCCCCATTTTTAAAGGAACTTATTACTCAGGTACCTTCCTCTCTTCTGGTTATTTTTTTTTTCCTTTTTTTTTTTTTTTGAGTTGGAGTCTCACTCTGTCGCCCAGACTGGAGTGCAGTGGCCGCTCCCAACCACTGCAGCCTTGACCTGCTGGGCTCCGGTGATCCTTCCACCTCAGCCTTCCGAGTAGCTGGAACTACAGGCATGTGCTACCATGCCCAGCTGATTTTTTGATTTATTGTAGAGATGAGGTTTCGCCAAGTTGCCCAGGCGAGTCTCGAACCCGCAGGCTCAGGCAATTCACTCACCTTGGCCTCCCAAAGTGCGGGATTACAGGCTGAGCCACCGAGCCTGGCCATCTTCTGGTTATCTTTAGGTCATAACTTACATCAGGAAACAGGATCAACTGAACGTTCTTTGCATATAGGCAGGGTAGAGAAAGTCCAAAACACTCTAGCTATAATTTTGAGTTTCTGTATCACTGAAGGACTCTTAGCCCCATCACCAATAACAGGAATAATGGATGAAACTAAGGTGCTTATTTGGCAATGACATCTTCCACTGATGGGAAGACAACTTAGACTTTTTGATCCATGACACTGACCAACTGGCCTTCCCAGTGGCCCCTAGAGCACAGGTCCCTTGGAACCGATACCCACTGCTAGTCAGGCACAAGCTCTTACTTGCTCAAGCAAGTGAGTCTGCACAATGGAGTGTAGGTTGGTAAGGGAAGGACTGAGATAGCAAATTTACTAATCAACCTCTCCAGACTTAACTAAGGAAGTGCTTATTAGATTCATTCACACAAGATTTTCCAAGCTGGGGAACAATGGTGCAAAATTGCTTAATATATCATGACATGATTTTAGAGCTAAGTGGAGAATAAATGCCAAGGTCCAACTAACTTTTAACCCAGAAGCACATTCACCTAATTGCCAGAATTATATCATTGTAATACATTAACACAACTGCATAACTGATGAATATAGCTACAAATTAACCAGTCATTTCAACTTTTTCTGTCAGAAGTATATTTTCTTTATCCTGCCCTTTATTTAATAAACCTAAAAACTGTAACTAAAATCTTGTAAAGAATACCTGAGTCCTGGATCTCAATATCCAGCTTTCATAGGAAGTAAATTAGAATATACAGCTTAGCAAACAGCATTCCCCAAAATACTCAGAAGTTCAGTGAAGGAGAATTCCAAGCACTGAAGTCCATCATGCCTACCCGCATGTCATCTCAGTGACATACACCTGCAGTATAAAGGCTAACACATTGGAGACGGAGCTTCTGGTTCATAGAACTGAGCTGGATAAAGATAATACAGAACACAGCTGACTCCACCCTCCCTGGGACCAGAAGGGAAAGAGACAGCAGGCTGAAAGGTTTAGTTCTGAAGACACAAAGGGTTCAGATCAGATCACAGTCTCTCTCCCTGTGGAACGTACAAAGCCAGCACACCCAATGGCCTCAGCCCTTTCAAAGAGGGACAGAAACGTTACCACTAAAGTTTGAAATCTGATGCTTCTAGACCTGTAGGCCCACCAGCCAGAGCCCCACAAGAACACGAATACACTGCTTCTCCTAGGCAAACCTCACCTGAGCCACAGCCAATGGAGGATGCACAGATCTGCCACTCCACTGTGTATTCCAGCACTGCCCAGCTTTTCCTTCAATAGAAATTGCCACCTGAGATTCCTCAGGCTTTAACCCAAAATAGTGTTTTGTTGCCCCTTAAGTAGGAATAGTTTTACAAAGTAGCAAATATCACAATAACATCTATCTTTAAATCTTTCCTGAATAATTAAGGTTTATTTATCAAAGTTCCCTAAAACTTTTCAAGTATCAAATAAAAAAGTCTTCCCAGAGTTGGAGCAGATGCACCAAAAGCATACCATGTTACATTAAGATTTTAAAGATCCTTTGGGAGAAGAAAGAAAGAGGAAACATGAAGGTATCTGAATGAAAAACTAGCAGAAGCTCTAGCCAAAAACCTTTGGAGCAAATTACCAGGAATAGGCAGCAACTTATTATTCCACTCCAGAGTAGGAGCAAAATGCCTGGCCTGAGGATTTTTCTAACTCATAGGTTAGTTCTGCAAGTTACGATAGTGTCTTAAAAAGGAAAAAGAGTGACCATGAAGAAAAGGGAAACTCTTTTCCTACCTCTGTCTAGCATAAACCCAACTCAACTGAAACAATGAACTTCCCTGGAGACCAAAGAACACACAAACTGAAATTCTCTCACTTCCTAAAACTCTATGTGATCCAGTGTTGCCAAAATATATTGGAGAAACAGAATGAGTCACTACCACTTGGCTGCAGAGCTCTCTCCCTAGAGTGCATAATGCAAGAGATTTCAATATTCTAAAAGTACTCCTATTGCCATTTCTTTGGAGGGCTGGCATCCTGTCAGCTGGCATGCAGTATAGGGGCCAGGGACAGGACAGTTCAAAGACAAGAAGGAGAGGCAAAGTCTGGAATTCACAGCTATTCTGCTCTCCCTTTGATGCCTTTCAGCTACAGACAGCTGAGGGCACACTGCCTCCCCAACCAACACTAAAGCACCCAGGAGCTTGCAGGCCGGATAAGAAAAAACAAGCCCCTGGCTGTACCAAGGCAGGCACACACCACTACCACCAACCACCACCAGACACATAGTGAGCATGGGACATGGGGGACTGAGCTTACAACTCCAATAGGAAAGCAAAGCCTAGGTCTAGAAAGCACAAAGATGAGGGGAGAAAAACGACTGACAGCAAACACCTGAGTCGGCAGGGAACACTACACAGACGCAGTCACGAGGACAGCGGGAGACAGAACGCCGGACAGGACAGTGCTGCTGCACAGGGCCAGTGCAAACGGGACTTACTCATCGCTTTACACACAGCCATACAATAATCCTCAGACTCAAAATTGTTCCTGTTGCCGCCGCAGCCGCCATATATAAAGCGCACGCACTTTCCCTTGGAGAGGTCGAAGTACCAACGAGGCATCACGGCCCGGCAGGGCCCCGTCATCGCCTCCTGGGAGCAGACAGCTGTGTGGAAATGGTCAGAGTGTCAGCAGGACAGAGGCAGTCAGGACAGAGGCAGTCGTGTCAAATGCTTCAAAATGCTATAGGCCAGCAATGGGGGTGGGTAGGTGAGGGGGGAAGCCAAGATGGGACAGAGCCTGAAGGCCCTGGGTGACCCATATCTCCAGCTCAAGCCAGCCATTCTGAGGACGCAGTTACTTCCCATGTAGTAAAGGCACTTAGGAACTGGAATAAATATGTTTTTTGGTAGTGTATGGAGTCTAGATCTATGTTTAGGGTGACATAGATAAATTCCTTGTCTCATAGCTCTGTGAGCCTCACATTTCTCTAATCTGTTAACTGGAGATATTTGCCTAGTTTGTCTTTTTGAGGTTTCAAGGACCAACAGAGACAATGCAGGTGGAAAGACTGCTTTATAGTGATACCCTTAGTAAAGACTACAGCATCTAGAAAGGACAAGTGTTTTCCATTTTTACATTCTCTAAGGTGAATCATAAGTGTCTAAACTGGTTAAGTAATTTCCCCCCAGTTGGGTCTTAAATAATTCTTCAGTTCTTTATTGGTTTCAAATATACAATCAGCAAGAAGCTGAATCTAAACGGCTCAGGAACTATTACAACTTTTTCTTGTTTTAACTGACAAGATGAAAAAAACTACAGGCCACAATTGTTACCAGTAGATCAATAAATTTCACCCTTGCAGCTACAAACAGCTGGACAAATAGGGCAGCCTACATATTGGAACACACTCAGGAAAAGAAAACCCAAGAAAGCTATTTCCATTCTAGGAGACCAGGTTGAGTGGTGTTGAAGAGGGGAGCTCACTTTGGGAAGAGAACATTTTAGGCTAAATGTGAACAAATCCTGCTGAAGGGTATACTACATTGTCTCTTTTATTCCCTAGTCCCTGTCCTCTAATTAAATCCTTATAACACAAACTTTCTTCTGTAATTCAGTCCTGCACCTCTCCCTGGATGTACATGCCTGCCCACTGCTAAGGCAGCACCACCACCACACTGGAGAGCTGAACTCGCTTTCAGTGTGGCAATACCACCTTTCCTTCTGTGATTTACTTACCTGCATTAAGTGCAATACAAAAGTCTAAGTGAATCATTACCATGTGAATTTTAAAGTTGTGGCTTTACATTGGTTACCTTTGACATCATGAGTAATTTCCTTGTCTGAAATAGTGCCATCGCTGCTGGGTTCAGTTGGGTTTTCTTCATTGTAGTCATCTCCTTTAAAAGTGTCGTAATAGTAATCACGGTCTTCTACCACTTCCTCCCCTTCTTCCTCATCTTCGTCATCCTCATCCACAGCTGCTTCTGTGAAGTCTTCCAGATCTGCTTCGGTAGGAAATTCACTAAAGGCCACAGTGAAAAAAGCAAGGTTAATACCTCCTATGCGCAAAGCACAACAATGGTTCCCTTCCCTATTCTGAAACACAAAAACAGAGACAGGAAATAAGCTTGGCTCGCATGTAACTGTGCCACTAAAGCCCTCAGCCTAGCTACATCAGCAAAAGGGAAGAGTTAGTGAACACAGGCTACATTAACCTGCAGAAAATAATGCCTCCCAGAATGATATAAAGCCAAAAGTCACAGGTCCTCCTGTGATCAGCTATGACTAAAATGAAATGCAAGCTGAATCAATTCCAGCATGATAAAGGAATGGCCATCTCATCCAGAAGGGAGGCAGCAGCAGCCAATAGCCACTTTCACAGAAAGGGAAACAAAAAGGCAAATGATTTCACAGCTCAGGACAAGAGTTACCTTTTATAAATATCATAATCTTCTTCTTCGTCCTCCTCTTCTTCTTCTTCTTCCTCCTCCTCCTCCTCTTTTGACACAGATTCAATAATCTTTGTTTGAGGGCAGCACACATATTCAGTGCCATGGAACTGGTCTACTCCACAGGGTAGCAGCATGCCGTAGCTATATAAAGTCATTCCCTGAGTCAGACATGCCTAAAGGAAACCCACAGATCACATCAGAACATACTCCAGAGTAAATGTAGTCAAATATTCCCTGACCCCTAGCCTCATACAAAGAAATCCTTATCAAAGCACTAGGCAGTTTTCTCTTATGGTCACAAATATTCTATCAAAAAATTGTGATTCTGTTATTTTTGTTGTTGTTGTTTTGTTTTGTTTTTTTAGTTAGAGTCTCACTGAGTCGCCCAGACTGGAGTGCAGTGGCTGCTCCCAGCCACCGCAGCCTTGACCTGCTGGGCACCGGCGATCCTTCCGCCTTAGTCTTCCAAGTAGCTAGAACTACAGGTGCGTGCTACTATGCCCAGCTAATTTTTTGATTTTTATTGTAGAGATGAGGTCTCGCCAAGTTGCCCAGGTGGGTCTCAAACCCGTGGGCTCAGGCAATTCACTCACCTCAGTCTCCCAAGGCGCGGGATTACAGGCTGAGCCACCGAGCCCGGCCGATTCTGTTATTTTAAGACTACAAATTTCACTTAACAATAGAGAAATATCAACTGGTCCAAAATCACTGAAAGCTCAAACTTCGAAAAAAATCAGGAAAAAAGAGTTTCTTCTAGTAATTATCAACACCAATTAATGGTGGTCAACACTAATTTATAGTCATCACTGGTGAAGTTCCTGCTTTAGAATTTGACCAAAGGAAGACTGAAAAACCAACTTAATTACAGATAATAAGGAAGGGTATTTCTCTTCACCAGAAAAATGAAATGGCATTTAATCTTGTCTGTGCATATGTACAGACCCAGATTTTCTATAACTGGCTATTTTCATACCATAAGACAACCTTCTGGGGAGCCCCGCCGGCAGCATACATTAATTTTGCTCAACAACTTCTTTAACAACCTTAACTTTAGAAGTTGGACCCTCAATGTTATATTTCTGTCTACACAAATATCTACTCCTCTCACAAATATTTTTAATTTAGAAGCTAGAAGGAACTGTATATCTTGTAGAGATAAAAGGGAAATAAAGAAAGTTAACTTAAAAGCATGGTGAGATTTGGAGAAAAATGCTACTTTCTTTAACAGATTCAACAGTTGACTTGTTCCCATCCATTCTCTTACCTCTTTGACTACAGTGTGCCAGTGTTGGTGGTTCTCGCATACCTCCATCCTCTCTTTGTGGAAGAACTGGCACTTTTCTGGAACCAGCAGAACATCACTTACAAATTCACCCACTGGAAAAGACAGCCTTTGTCAGAAGCAAATCTGATCATGATTCAAGGTGAAAATGACCCTAGCTGCAGATTATTATGACAGTTATATAGCCAGAAGCAGTGTAACACATATAAGAAGGCGTACATCTCATATCTTCAAAGGCCAAGTGGACAGTACAGCCCTAGGCAAGCAGCCACAAGAACTCAGCAATCTGTCAGAGTCACGATGCAAAGACTTTTTAAAACCTCCCAACAGCAATCCCTTGCAGTCCCATTGCAGGACCATAGCAACAAATGACAGGGAGAATATAAATAGGATCCCCCTCCAGGATACCTCAAACACACACAGCTACAGCCCTGCCTCTGAGCTCACATACTATACTAGCCTTTCACATCCCTGTTTCTGTCCATATCTATTCAAATAAAATGACCAAGAAATTATTAAGACTGGGTGTCCTACTGAAGTATACATGAATCTTACTTTAGACAAATCACCATTGTAATAAATGAATCAGGTAAGAATCACCAATGAATGATTACAAAGGGGCAAAGGTGCCTTTACAATAGGAAGCTCTGTCACAACTACCTTCACCAGATGACCAATTTAACATCACCGATAATGAACAAACTGATATGTTTGATGTCCTAAGAAGACCATATCACCTACACAGTATTTCTGCCAAAATATAGCATGAGAATCTAATCAGCATAAAACTATAAGACAAATCAAAATTCAAGGATATTGTTTTATTTTTGTAAAGGCTTAGACTCAAAAAATATCATTGTGATGAAAGATTTTTTTAAAAGACTGGGACACTGTTCTAGATCAAATGTAATATGTGATCTTTTTATTTTGTTGAGTTGGAATCTCACTCTGTCACCCAGACTGGAGTGCAGTGGTATGTTCACGGCCACCACAGCCTCAACTTGCTGGGCTCAAGTGATTCTTCCGCTACAGCCTTCCAAGAAGCTGGAACTACAGGCGTGCACCACCATGTCGGGCTAATTTTTTGATTTATTGTAGAGATGAGGCCTTGCCAAGTTGTCCGGGCTGGTCTCGAACCCATGGGCTCAGGTAATCCTCTCACCTTGGCCTCCCAAAATGCCTGGATTAAAGGCGTGAGCCACCGAGCCCAGCCCATATGTGATCCTTTTTTAAAGGAAGTGTCAAAGGCCACTTAGGGGAATTTCAAAAGTGTGATAATTGTATTGTCATTATATAGGAGAATGTCCCTGGCTATTAGGAAAAACAAGTTGAAATATTTAGAAATTAACTGTTATGATGCCCCAACTTACTTTCAAATGGTTTTACAACACACACACACACACACACACACACACACACATACACACACACACACACACGGGGCAGGGTGGTGGGGGGGTTCAGGTAAAATTGGAGTATCTAGATAAATGGTACAGAGGTACTCATTATTTACATTTTCTAAAACTTTCCCCAAAAAAGCTGAGAGAAAAATACACATAACTGTTTATTTACAGGGGAAAAAAAGGTATCTGATAGAGTCATGGTGGGTAACTGGTACATGAGGGCTGAGTGAATCATCGCCTCTATGTTTAGATTTGTTTAATAAAAAGTTAAAAATATGTATCACCAGATTATTCCAGAGACTCTTATTCAGTAGTATAAGGCAGGAGTCTGTAGTCTGTACTGCACATGCATCTGCCATATGTGCCACACAGTGATCAAATAGAGGAAAAGAGATAGAGGGATGTATGCCTGGCTCATGGAGAGATGCAGTAAGTGTGGGCAGGGAAAAAGGAAGCAGCCAGGCTAACCTCTGAGGTTAAGGGGAAAATGAAAATATAATAAGAAAGTAATGTGGTCCAAGAAAGGTCTTAGGGCTTAGTCAGTGGAAAGTCTATGTAGATCCACCCACAGCCTTGCTCTGCCTCATGCTTCGGTCTTGGGAACTGAAGCAGCCAGTCCTTCTACTGTGCAACTGGTAAGAGAAGGAGAGTGGCTGATCTGTTGGGGGCGGTGGGGAGATGTGCTCCTGACATGACAAACTGGAGCAGTAAAATATCCCCACACAAAAACAGTGTTAAACATGGCAGTTAGGTTTCTTAGCACTAATATTAAAAGAATAGAAAATTGTAGGGTCATGTATCTCCATGACACTAAAGCAGGAATGCAAAGGTAAGTTAGAAATAGTCTTGCCCATGAGGACCCCAAGGGCTATAGGGGAGGTAGTATCTGTATACAAGCTTTAGCAATCAACTGGAGTTACAATCAATGCTTAAAAATAGCAACAACAAAAATGGTAGACGAATCTACCTCTACTAGAAGCAGCAATCCTGGTACTCAATCTAAGTAGAAATTACTTACATTCTGACATCCAACCACCAACTCACATTATTTAACATGACTATTCAGTATGAACTGGCCATCTTTACATTTGTTCATTTATTACAAAAAACAATAAAAACATATACTTAAGAGAATGGCAATAGGGTTAAATGCCAGGGTTCAATCTCACCACTGTCACTACTGGCAGAGTGATCTTGGCCAAGTTACTTAACCTTTCTGTCCCTTAGTTTCTTACCTTTCTTGTGAGGATTAAATGATCTAATCTATACAACACATAAAAAGCTTAAAACAGAAACTGAAACAGAGTAGGCAATGTGTTAGCTCTAAGTCTTGATGTTACTGTTATTTTAAAATCTTGAGAGCTGGGCTCAGTGGCTCAGCCTGTGATTCCATGCTTTGGAAGGCTGAGGTGAGTGGATTGCCTGAGCCCGTGGGTTCGAGACCCGCCTGGGCAACTTGGTGAGACCTCATCTCTACAATAAATCAAAAAAATTAGCCAGGTGTGGTAGCGTGCGCCTGTAGTTCCAGCTACTTGGAAGGCTGAGGCAGAAGGATCGCCGGAGCCCAGCAGGTTGAGGCTGCAGTGGCCGTGAGCAGCCACTGCACTCCAGTCTGGGTGACAAAGTGAGACTCCAAATCAAAAAATAAAATAAAATAAAATCTTGAGTAACCAGTTTTATACAAAACAAATATACAACCAAAGTCATAAAGAAATGTACAGTTAAGCAATAGTTAATGCACTTTAATATGTAAAACCTCACTTGTGTATGTTCAACTATAGCATTAGAAAAAAATTTTAAAATAAGCCAGATGTGGGAGCGCGCGACTGCAGTTCTAGCTACTTGGAAGGCCGGGGAAAAGGATCACCTGAACTCAGCAGGTCGAGGCTGCAGTGGCTGTGAGCGTGCCACTGCACTCCAGCCTGGGCAACAGAGTGAGACTTCAACTCAAAAAAAAAAAAGAAAGAAAAAGAAAAAAAAACTTTTAAGCAGCAATTTCACTATCAAATATATATTCCATGGAAACATTAAAAAATTTAAAATATAAGGGAATACTATGTAACAGATTAAAATGAATTGACTAAATCTATATAACACCTTGGATAAACCCTAAAATGGTATAAAAAGTAAAAGCAAGTTGTAAAAGGTTGGGTGCAGTATGATACTATTAATGTGAATTTTAAAACACAAGAATGTACTCTCTAGCTGCAAACAGGAAAAGCATGTCATTTGGAAGGCTCCTAGAAGCTGAACCCAGGAGGCAGAAAAGAGTCTTATATAACATAATGAGTTCTGGTACACACTGCTATGTCTTTCAGGTAAACAGGGCTCTGAGAAGTCAAGGGTTCAGATTAATTCTCAAGAGCAAAACATTCACCTTGCATAAGGGTCCACACCAGAAACAGGGTGAATTGTTGATGTGCTATTATGAATTCAAAGACTAGAAGTCTTATAAAGGGACACCTGCAACGGACAAGTGAGCTGCTCCAACAGACCTTAAGTATAGCAGCTGAAGACTGTACCCCAAAGCTTCCGAGACCAGCTGTGGTTTTAAAGCAGGTATTAAATGGGAACTTTTTTAGTAGTTTTCATACTGCGGTAACACTCACAGTATCTCTATCTCTATCCAAAAATAAACAAAAACAAAAACAGTCATGGATTATGAAGTTATCTTGAGTACAAAAGCCAATAAATACAGATGTCAGAGATGACTAAAACTCATCTCCCCCAAAATACCCGCAGTTTTGCTTATTCACACATCACCAACTCATCCTACCTGGATCACCCTATTTACTTAAATTTTAATAGATAACCAGGAGTCAATTAGTAGTAATATGAGATATAAGGTTCATTTTATTAAGAGGGAAGACCAAACTATAGCTTCCCATCAAATACACTATACACTAGTTTAAAAGAGTCATGCTGATGGGCACAATGTTCTCAGAAGAGGGCAGAGCTGAATGGTGCAGTGAATGCAGCCATCTACAGTCAGTACAACACCAAACTGGATGTGAACACTGCCAGCAATCTATGTTCACTCTGAAACTGCCTTCAAGTGTGATCAAGACATACCATTGTCCTCAACCGCAAAACAACAACAAGCAAACGCAAATAGTGCCCAAGAACAGTGTTAAGAACCCGGGGACATCCAAACCAATTCATAGAGGCACCCAATCATTACAGAGCCTGTTTTTCCCGTTCCACATCTCTTCACTCTCCTCAGCCTATCTATGCTTTGTGTATGCTAAGCAGCAGTTTCTTACAGAGACTTTCAAGGCTGAAGCCAACCATATTTCTATCATTTCTCCAACATGTGGTATTCATCTTAAATATGTATATAAGGACTTACTGTGGTTACTTCTGGTGAATTAAATGTACAAGACTCTTTTTACTGTATCAATTTTTAGTATAATTTGTACATTAAAAGATTTGTGTATGGCTGCACAACTAAGTAAATATACTAAAAACTACTAATTTCAAAATGGGTGAATTCTATAGTATGTAAATTATAGTGCAACAAACCTGTTTTTAAAAAGCACAGACTGATTAAATAGAGGTATTGAGCACATAAGCAAATATACTAAGAATACTGGACTTGTAGATCTCACTATGAGCTCATGGTTGATATATGCACATGGATTGGTATAAAAATACAGATTTGTGTCTGTATATATAATATACACATATATCTCCTAGCTCTATTTGCTGAGTAGGCCTAGAAGCAATAACATCCTCCTATTAGCAAGAACACGTAATGCCCAGATTTAGTTTTTAACAGACTCCAGGGTGGAGCAGGGAAAATACAGGATGCACATGACTCTTTAGTACCAGAAAGTAAGGAAGTCCAAAGAATGAAAGGAACATGCTAAAAAGACACAGGAACCAGCATAAAGTTCCCACTGGCCAAATCTGGACACAGTGTACATAATAAAGTAAGTGAATGCAGACAGCACCTTAGGCAGCTGATAAACATTACAACTGGTAATGGAACAAATTGACATCATACAACTCCCAATATGATGCAATGAAAAGAACACTTCTGTGGTATTCCCCTCAAAAATGCATAAATCAAAAGGACCACAGACAAATCCCAATTGCAAGGCATTCTATTAAGTAACTGGCCTGTAGTTTTAAAAATATCAATGTCATAAAGGACACGAAAATACTAAAGAGAGAACTAAATGCAACAAGTGACCTTGAATTAGATCCTGAATGTTATTACAGCAACAGGTGAAATTTGAGTAGAGTCTGTAGATTAGATATTGGATCAATTAGATACTGCCTAGGAAAACACTAATTTTTGATGATTATACCATGGTTGTAGAGAAGAATTTCCTTGTTTTTTAAAAAGACATACCATAGTATTAAGGCATAAGGATATCATGTCTGCAACTTCCAAATGATTCAGATTTAAAAAAAAAAAAATCCAGTAGAGAATGAGTGGGGGGAGGGATTGATAAGATTAATTTTATCACATGAATCAGATGTTAACAGTTGGAAAATCTTAAATCTGGCTATTTCTGTAACCATTCAGAAAATCTGAGATTATTTTTTAATTTAAAAAAGCAACTCTAAAAGACTATCACCAAAAGGATTTCTAATGAGTCAATGGAAAGAAAGTGGTATTAACAAATGTCAGTTCTGCCTGGGTACTTGAAGGGGAGGGGATGGTGGAAGGAGGAAAGAGACATCAAAATCTTCCTAAATGACAACAAGGAAGAATTGGCAGTATTTCTTTCCTACTCCTTTCCCTTAAACTCCAGTCACTTTGTCCCTCATTAGTTTTGGCTGAGGCCAACTGTACTTACTTAAAAATTCCAAAGGATAATTCTACATAGTGGTTAGGAAGTTGTCCAAATGGTTGCTGGGGTGAACATGAATAACTAAATGAAGTAACACCAGACTGTACAATGCTTTATTCACTGATCACAATGCAAAGAAAGTGCTGAATGACTTACGGTTAAATTGTCTTTTATGCATTTAGTAACAATGTAATTTCATTACTTGGTTCTGTAATGCACTAAAAAATTTACACTTATCATCTGGAAAATAAAGCAATAAAAAAAACTTCTGCTGCACACCAACTATGGTATTGTAATTACTATAAACAACATATCCTATGTTCTAGGCACTATCATGGTGCAGAGGGGACAAACAGGGTCCCTGCTTTCAGATGTTAACAGTGTAGTCAGAGAAAGGTCTATAAACGATCCTTGTACAGTGTGATAAGTACAATGGCAACAGCAAAGAGCAGTTGAGCACTCTAGATATCTGCACAGAAAATAAGACCAGGAAAGGCTTTCTTTAAAGGTGGCATCCTCAGAGTTAAGTCTTATAGGAAGAACTTTCTAGGCAAAGTAAGCAGAGAAAAATTGCTCCAAACACTGAGAACTGGCTGGTGTGAAGGTGCTCAGAGCTGGTGAAGCTGAAGCACAGGGCAGAGTAGTAGAGAGCAGGGCAGAGTTCAGCATAGGCCAGGTCATACTAAGGAGTTTCAACATTATTTTTTAGCTTCACAAAGTTATAAGGTCACCACAAGAAATTCATGTTCTCATGCTGAAAATGTAAACTACTTCCAGCTAGTAGCTAGTGGAATGCCTGGCAGATGTTACTTTGTTTCCTCTGAAAAACCAAAAATGTCCTGCACTGTCCTGTGAGTTTACTGCAATGTCCTAAAGTGCCTAAGTGCACAGTCTGGGAATCATGGCTAATACCCCTCCTTTAAGAGGTAAAAATCAGGCTGGCTCAAAAATCGACTGGATGTGGGGAGATGAAGGATATCAAAAAAAAATCAGAGGTCTCCCATGCAGATAGATGTCTGGGTGGGGAATGAAGACAGGAAGTAACAAGACAAACAGGAGGAGGAAGTTTAGGTTGCAAAGTCTTTGGGGAGAAGAATGCAAAACAAATAAATGATTTCAAGTACTTTTACCTATTGTCTACAAATACAAATATTCGAGATTAATCTTGTTTCACTTATAGTTTGAGAATTACATAAAGAATTAATAAACCTCACATCCTGAGATTTCTCAGAGTTAAATGGTATGGAAGAACATCCTTACACTACGTCACACAATTTTTTTTTAAAATCAGGGTTTCACTCTTGCCCAGGCTGAAGTACAGTGACACAATCACAGCTCACAGCAGCCTCAGCCACAAGAGTAGCTGGCACTACAGGTGCAAGTCACTACACTTGGCTCAAGCAACCCTCCTGCCCCTGCTTCCCAAAGTGTTTGGATTACAGGCATGAACCATAGTACCCAGCAAAATTTTCAACTAATCTCCCACTACTGAGAGACACTCAATTTAAAATAGTTAAGCATATACAATATCCCTCTTTCCTCTACTTGATGCTTTTTTTTTTTTTGAGTTGGGGTCTCTCTCTCTCTCTCTCTCTCTCTCTCTCTCTCTCTCTTGCCCAGGATAGAGTACAGTGGCATGATCATGGCTCACTTCAGCCTTGACCTCCTGAGCTCAGATGATCCTTCTACCTGAGGCTCTTGAGTAGCTGGAACTATAGGAAGGTACCATCATGTCCCGCTAATTTGATTTTTTTGTAGAGATGAGGTCTCACTATGTTGCCCAGACTGGTCTATGAAAAAAATCTTCTTGCCTCAGCCTCCCAAAATGCTGGAATTACAGGTAGGAGCCACCATGCCCAGCTTTTAAAATAAAGTTAATTAGCCGGGCTCGGTAGCTTAGCCTGTAATCCCAACGCTTTGGGAGGCTGAGGTGAGTAAATTGCCTGAGCAGGTGGGTTCGAGACCCGCCTGGGAAACTTGGTGAGACCTCATCTCTCCAATAAATAAAAAATTAGCTGGCAGTGGTAGCACACGCCTGTAATTCCAGCTACCTGGAAGGCTGAGGCGGAAGGATCGCTGGAGCCCAGCAGGTTGAGGCTGCGGTGGCTGGGAGCGGCCACTGCACTCTAGTCTGGGTGACAGACTGGGACTCCAACTCAAAAAATAAAAATAAAAAATAAAGTTAATTGCTACATATTTTAAATACTGTCATTTAGGTGCTGATTCTTCCTGTTAGTTGGAGATTGCTCCTTGCCACATGTGAGAATGAGAAAAGCAATGCATTCCATTTTGCTGCCATCAGCAGTTTAAGGAAAGGTTTTAATGAAGGGAGGGTGGAGACTCTCCAATCATATCTACAAAACCACTCAGGATGTCTGTGTTAATGCTATATCTATGTTAATTCCTGTTGTGGCTAATCTAAAATAGATTGCTATGCCCTTTTAAGTTTCTGTGACCAATCTATTCCTCAATCATCCAGACTACAGATATGTGAGTATAATTTGGATGTGTCAGGTGATGAATGGTTAAGAATAAATTCACTAAGCATTTGAAGCAACAACTCTGTTTCTGGGTAATAAACCATCATCGTTTTACTCACATTGGCTCTGGATGTTAATACCAACAACAAAAACACCCCTCACAGTCACAAACCCTTCAGAATGGCAGGTCCCAGAGGACCTGGCCCTGGCACCCTGGACTGTCCACCAGTTGTTATGAGTCACTTTTCCTTCTCCTGAAAACTACAGAAAGTTGGGTCTGGTATAATAGTGCAAATGTGTGCAGGATGAAGTAAAGGAAAAGAAGACTCTTTCTCTTGGGTTGCTTTCTTCTATACCTCACAACTAACATTGAAAAACATTAATATTGAGTTGTTAATGTAAGGGCAAAGCTGGGTTGCTCTGTGGGTAGCACTCGTATTCAGTACTACAGAAAAGGTTCATCCTCAAAAGGTGGAAGGAGGCCCACAATGGGAAGGCAGAGTTAGTAATCATTGAAAAAGGCTGACCATTGACACCAGAAACAGTAAATATCTCAAAGAGAAATTTCCGCCAATAAATTCACACAGCACTCAGCTTGTTAACAGACATACATATTTCACTGTGAGTCAAGAGAAAATTAAATTTAAAAACAGGAGGATGGTGGCACTTCCTGAAAACTAACCAAGAACACTCACCAAGACACTTGAAAGGTGTAACAATGTGACTCCTGCATTGCTTTTTGTCCTTCCGGCACCAGTTGTCAATACTGACTGGCTGGTTTGCTTCCATCACATTTGTGATCTGTAGCTCTGGATACATCTATTAAGGAAAGGAAAACACAATAAATTGACCTGCTGATGGACATTCCAAGTAAGGATGAGTTTCTACCTGTACTTGGCCTTTACCCTTACCCTTACCCTTATAAATCTGAAGTTCCACTCCACTACCCCTGATTCCAACTGAAGTCATCAAGTAAAAAGACAATGTAACTAACAGTCTTCTTTTGACAGGTTAGATTTCTGACCACCTCATGAATTCTCTTTTAAAAGAGAATCAGAATAAACAAAGCAGTAAGCTTTTAGCCTGAAACAAATCCATTAGGTGTCAAGTTTGCTTATAGGGTATGTGTAAGTTGCTGAGTTCATGAACTAAAACACTTCAGAGGCAAGTCTATGGAAATGTCTGTTAATAAAATTATAGAACAATACTTCACCCCTGGCCTTGTATGCTGGTCTTGGTAAGAAATTATAACATCTCATATCCTTTTCTTTTTGACCCAAAAATTGAATCAGACCTGACATGATGATTATTTATAAAACTAGTGGCTTTCTATCAGTAAGTAGAAAACATGAGCACACACAACTTGTTTTGCTTTCCATCGTCCCACACTAAGTGGAAAAACAAGAACCAGGCTGGGCCTCTAAGGTACTTGCCAGGCTTCTGTAGTATTCCTTCCTTAAAGAGCTGAGAGCTCACAGGACAAGGAAGGAAGGAACACTGCAGAAGCCTGGCAATGCCTTTGAGTGGTGTCAATCATACTATACATTTAGAAACAAAGGGCCTGGGTCTCCAGTTATTAGCACCTTGGTCATGGTCAAAACAGAAAAATGATAAAGTATCTATTTCTAAGGTAAACAGGTTCAACCATGACCCAGAAAAAAAAGTGGTTTTAACTTTCTGGCAATGCTCTTACCTCCTGACAGTACTGAAGAACTTCTTCTTTTGTTCTAATGCAGCTCTTGGTGCCTGTTGGATCAGGTTCCCATTTCCCAGTCTGAATGTTCACATGCATATTTAACTTCCCACAAAACATTGCAATTTGAGGCTCAGCAACAGCAAATCCTGTTCCAGCATTGGCTGCAAGAGCCTATCAAAGGGGGGGAGGAAAAGTTCAGGTTTACCCCAAAAGCCACAGAAGTACAGTCATTCAGTGGTGTGTGACAGAATTGGTCTTTAAAATATCTTTACTATTTACTATTTTTATCTTCATAAAAAAATCTTTTTTCCAGGAGCTAGAACAGAATAAAAAATGACCTTTGGGATGTATATGATCCAAGTGAAAAGTCAAAGGGAATCTAATTTACTCCCCATTCCGTGCCTGGGATACTTCTAACTTCAGAATATATAACCCAGTGCAGTCTGCTCTAATTCAAGAACTTTTCATTTCCCTTACACCAAATCGTGAAAGTAAGGAATGACTAAAGTTCCAATAATTTTACTTAATTTATTCACACAATAAAATTATACTGAGCAACCACTATTTTGTAAAGTAATGTGCTAAGTGCTTAGGATACAAGGACAAGCAAAAAGTCATGGCCTGTTTTCCTGAAGTTCTAATGCAAAAGTCAAAACTCACAAAAAAGTGTGACCACATTTCCAGAGGTTCTAAGGAAAAGGACAGTGCTGAGGAAGCACATAAAAAAGGAATCTGACCTACACTTGTGTAGGGAGGTGATGAGGGAATCTTGTGTAGGGAAGTGATCAGATAGACACTTGAATAGCCCTTTAAGAACCCTCATGCTAGTGAGGTAGAGAGATGGTAGAAAAGTCACCCAGGACCAGACTAGATAATCTTTAGACCGAGAAAGAACTTCAGTCCTTATCACTGGGAGTGTTGAGAGGTTTTAACACAAAGTTACTATTGTCAAACTGCAGCTCTGATTCTCCGGTGGCTGAGAATAGACTGAACAGAAACAAAAGTGTATGCAGGGAAATAGTTCAGGAAGCTGGAGTTGCAAGGTCCAAGAGAGGAATAATGGTAGCTTGGGCTAAAGTAGTATGAAGAAGAGAAAGATTCAAGAGATCACAGAGCACAAAATGGGCAAAGATGTGTGACAAATTAGATATAAAGGGAAGAGGAAGAGGCAGATGTCAAGTTTGGTTCACATTATTCAATGTGTGATGGCATCATTCATGGACACAACACCAAAAGGAATTTCATGAACAATTTTATCTCATGTTGAATAAAAATAAACTATTCCGTAAAGTCTTTCTTTGGTCGATTCCCCTTTTTGCAAGATCTAACCATTAACAGCTCAGAGATTATGAGTGAGAAATATGACAGTAAGGCTCCCACAAAGTATCATGCACTAGAAAAGCATAGGCATCTCTGCAGCTAGTAACATGGCATTATTAATGATTATAACCATAACAGAGTTCTGTAGTGTCTCCTAATGCAAAACTTCTTTCAAAATAACAATTAAGTCAGCTTTTAAAAATGGTAAAACTAGCCGGGCTCGGTGGCTCAGCCTGTAATCCCGTGCCTTTGGGAGGCTGAGGTGAGTGGATTGCCTGAGACCGTGGGTTCAAGACCCGCCTGCGCAGCGAGACCTCATCTCTACAATAAATCAAAAAATCAGCCGGGCGTGGTAGCGCATGCCTGTAATTCCGGCTACTTGGAACGCTGAGGCGGAAGGATCGCCAGAGCCCAGCAGGTCGAGGCTGCGGTGGCCGGGAGCGGCCACTGCACGTCCAGTCTGGGCGACAGAGTGAGACTCCAACTCAAAAAAAAGAATCCAC